TTATTGTCAACCTAGTATAACCTCTAAAAATTCTCATGAGATACGAAAGTCAGTTGTATCTCTTTGTAAAAAAAATTGGATACTATTATAAGATGTTTGTCCGAAACTTCGATTCTTTCACTCTCGTCTTACCTGAATTACGATCATATTATATCTAAATAGCCTCGTAAATGCTTTCTTAGATTCACTTTGTCATGGTAAATTAGAAACAAACACTTCTGAAATTGGAAACAAACAAAAAAATTGAACTATTTTTCATAAAAAGTAAGTCAGTGAAATAAACTGAAATTTTTTCCCTAACAACTCATTCCAAAAATATGAAAACATCTATATTCTCGATCAACTCGTCACACTGTATCTAACTAAATATGAAACAAGAGAAAAATATTCTGCTTTAATTTTGCATTTCCAGCACCTTATAAATATATATGTTTTTTTGTTCAATATTATATGATTGATTCCTTTCCATTAATGATTTGTGTTGCAAGTACAAAATTGGATGGCATAAGCTATAATCATCGAGAAAATATCATTAAAGCAGAAACAATGCAAGACTCAATGTTGCTGTGTCGTTGTTTACAGTTTGACTTTCGTCTTCTTATTATATGTTTCCTTTTGATTATGAGCATTACGGATACTTTAAAGACATCTAAAGATGAATGTAAAGTATGATATAAGAAAACAATTAATTTAAAGAAGTTCAAATTGATATTTAATAAAAATTTAGTCTTGACATATTCGAACTTCAAAATAGATAGGAAATGACTATGCATCATATAATTTCTAGATTGAACTATCCGTTTGTGAATAATGTTTTAGTTTCTTTCTATTCAAATGTCTAAATAATTTACCTCGATTTCAAGTCACTGTTCAAGGCGCAACATCCGCACTACATTAACCAATTTTTCTGTATCTGCATTAGTGATATTAGTATTTATAAATGGAAAGTTCAAGGTCGTATGGTATAGCTTCTATCTGAACATTAGTTAACTAATACAAGTCTCTGTTTGAGCAATCTAGTCGATAACTATATCGCTATAGCAGGCTCAGATTTATGAAGAGATTTATGATTGACTAATTAGCTAATCATAATGATAAATATGCATGATGTGAATTGTTTAATATTGATGCGATTTTCTGGGACATTTGGTATTGTTTATTACTTACTGAAGCTACACAAAATATATATTCTATTTAAATATAGATGAGGAGAGAATAAAATGATTTTTTTTGTCGTTGTCGAAAGATTCACGATATCGCTTATGGAACTTATATCACAAATCCACACTAATAACAATCTGGATGATAGATTTTGAGTAAGAGTAATAAAGTTTATGACAAAAAAGTAGGCACATACGAGACTACACTAAGACTACATGTTCATTTATCGATTAATAATACCTCTTTGATTGATTACTACAAAGATAATCGCATCATTTCAATAAAAAAGCGTCTATAGTTTTCGAATTTCAGAAAGCAACATTCAAGACAGCCAACAATAGTCAATCCACTTAGTGACTGGTTATGCTCAAGTAGGAGTGTGAATTTATTGTTATTGCTATTGTTATTAATAACAATAACTTTTTTTTTTTTGAAGAATCCTCAACTTGAATTGCTATCTATCTCAACTATAGACTAATTCTATTGATCTATTTTTAAGGAATAAATTTGTTATGACTATGACATCAATCGATCTAGAAATTTGAGAATTTGCATCGCTCATATAGATGAAGATATTTCACATGTTTGTCACTATTCAAAACAATAGAAACTGGTTGACTTCTCAGGAAATTTTCATGATTTCAATCCATTGAACTCTTCTTATTACGATAAATAATAGAAGTTCAAAAAACTGGGTGTGGGTGTGGATTAGATATACATTGGACCCAGTAACAGATCGCGATTTCAGGGTTCACTTGTTTCTGGGATCCAACCGACACTAAGCTTAGGCTCAATCCAAATGTCTCCTTCAATCTTACACAGTTTCACTAGCATATAGATTTGACTAGGGAATTTCTATCAAAGGTAAATTGAGGCTGAATAATTCGAATCTGCAATCAGACTTTGAAAATTTTCAACTGGATTTTTTGTTAGAGAAAAGGATTTTTCGAGAAAATAACGATATTTTATAAAGGTGGACGAGAGGAAGTCGGGACCCAGAATTCGAATTTGTAATTGGTTTTTTGAAGACTTTGAGTTAATTTTTTTCACAAATTTCTTTTTTATACAAACATCTTGCTTTTTCTTAAAAAATTATTTTTCAAAGAAAAAAATCTTTATTTTTAAAAATCAATTTTTTAAGAAAACCATGTGAAAAAATCGAACTTGAAATTTCGAAAATCTGATTGCAGATTCGAATTCCTCAACTCTGATTTGCTTTCGTCGACCTTCATAAGATATCGTTACTTTCTCAAAAAATCCAATTCAAAACTTTTAAAATCTGACATCAGATTCGGATTTCCAGGCCCTGATTTGACGGATGGCCCAGAATAAATGGCGGTCTGAGTATTTTGTTAATCTTTCAGTTGTTACTTTATCACTTACGCTTTATTTTTTTTATCGAAAGATTTGCCATTTAATTCTGCACAAACTGGTATATTTTATTCTGAAAAATACTTATCTCTTTATCTTTTGATATCACCATGATTAAAAACCAGCATTGCACATAAATTTCAAAATTTTTATTATTTTCAATTTTTTTTCCGCAAAAATTCGATTTCTGAATTAATCCTGTTACTTTTGCCATACTGTACATACTACTCAAGTGGTGAATTAGTTCATTTATATCAATCGTATTTAAGCCGATTAATTTCATTGCTGTGGTAAACAATGCGCCACAACAAAAAATAATAAGCATAATTCAGGAACTGGATGTTTTCGGAAAAACTTCAAAACAATGAACATTTTGAAAGTAGTATACAGTGTTGGCTTTTAATCATGGTAATGTCAAAAGTTAAAGAAATAAGTATTTTTCGAAATAAGATATACCAGTTTGTGCAGAATTAAATGGCGAATCTTTTGATAAAAAATAAAGCATAAGTGATAAAATAACAGCTGAGATATTAACAAAATACTGAGACCGCTATTTATTCTGGGCCACCCTTTACTTTCGTCAACCTTTATAAAATATCGTTATTTTCTCGAAGAATCCTTTCTCCTAACGAAAAAATCCAATTGAAAATCTTCGAAGTCTAATCGCAGATTCGAATTACTCGGCCTCGATTTACCTTCGATAGAAATTCTCTAGTCAAATCTATATGCTAGTGAAACTGTGTAAGATTGAAGGAAACATTTGGATTGAGCTGAAACTTAGTATCGATTGAATCCCGGAAACAACCGAACCTCGGCAAATTTAGGTTCGATGCACGCCTATTTTGAATATGGATGAAATAACACTCATATCCACACACACCTCACGTTCACATTTCATACCGATACCCACACCAGTGTTCATACCCACATTCACACTCTAATTGCAAGCTGTGCTGCATCAAGAAACTAATCAATCCTGAAATATATATAGAAATTTTAAACTATAATCATTAGTTGAAAGAAATATTTATGAAACATTTCAAAATGAACATTCATCCTGAGTTCAGACAGTTTTTTGAACTTCTATTATTTATCGTAACAAGAAGAGTTCAATGGATTGAAATCATGAAAATTTCCTGAGAAGTCAATCAGTTTCTATTGTTTTGAATAGTGACAAACATGTGAAATATTATCATCTATATGATCTATGCAAATTCTCAAATTTCTAGATCGATTGATGTCACAGTCATAACAAATTCATTCCTTAAAAATAGACCAATAGAACTGGCATAGTTGAGAGAGATAGCAATTCAAGTTGAGGGTCCTTCAAAAAAACAGTTATTGTTATGAATAATAATAACAAAAAATAGTTATTGTCATCAATAACAAATAACAAAAATAGTCATTGTCATCAATAACAATAACAAAAAAGTTATTGTTATTGATAATAACCGACTAACAATAACAATAACTATTTTTTGTTATTGCTATTGATAAAAACCGAATAACAATAACTTCTCATCCACATGTTCAAGTGCATATGCCGAGCAGTCCTTGAAAACTATCGATTCATAATATAGACGAAGGAGTGAAATACTTGAGATAATAGTGATACACACTAGTGCGAATAGATGTTACTCTATGATACTCACTTTTCTACTTTATTTGTTATTGATTTTTCTCATCCTCCTCAATATTCTCTCTTTGGTCTTCTTCTCTCCGTGATTATTATTATTATTGATTTTTATTCTTTTGAACTATTTCTCATCTTTTATCATTATATAAATATTTTTAGTTTTGAATTAAGATTATTTTATTCTCTTTCGAAAATAAAATATTCTTTCTCCACAATGAAAGGCTCAGATTGATATTCAAAATATTGAAGTGCAACTTCCACTTTCATATACAACAAAATAGTTGATCTTCATTTTATAATTACAAATCTGATCATCAAACTGCGTTAAAAGCTATTTGACACTTATTATGGTAATTATATATGTTTACTACTAAAACAATCAAAAGAAACTGATGAAAAAGGAAGTAAATGATTTTTTCTATATTAACCCTTGGGCGCTGTTCTCATTTTTTCACACGAAGGACGTATGTGGGTCCGACCGGACCCACATGTAGTTCCACTAGAATAATGTTATAAGTTATCTCTATTACGCTAGCTATAGATGAGTCAAGATTCTTCTTTAAATCCTTCACGGATATTTACGCTTGTATGGGCCGTTATCGAACTCAACTCAATGCTTGTATAGTAAGAGAAATAATTTTTTAAATATATTATGATAGCACTAGAACGTTCAAATTATTGAGTAGAACGTGTATATCAATACAATACAAATTAGTAAATATGACTGTATGTATGAATATAGCTTACAATGCCACTCATATTAAAGGCAAGAAGTTTTTTTAATTTTTATTTTAAACGGATAAAAAACAATAAAATCAATGTAACTGCTAAACTATTTTAGTTCTTGTTTGTAGATTTCTTCAATTTGTTCGTTTATGAGATTCCATTTTGACGATGTATTTTTCTTGCATGACTGACAAATGACTGATTTGATACTAAAAGAATGTGAATTGCAAACATTCCTTTGACATGCGTCGCAAATTTGTCTGACTTTACGACCAGGATGAGATGGGCAAAGAAAGCACCTTTTTTTTATTGTAATAAAATGATCAAGATTATCTTGAACGATTAAATTTTGGGGTTTGAATTCATATCCGAGAGATTGAAGTGCAAGTTTAACTTTCGGTCGAGGTCGAGATTGTTTGACACGTCGTTGATTATGAGAATCAGTTAATGATTTGCATAATTCTTCTAAGAAAAGACGTCGAATATATGTTTTCCCAATATTCCAATCCGGATTTTGATCAAGCCAAATATTCAATGAATTCATTGCTGCTATATCAATCATATTAAAAAACACTATCATTGGCCACCTGCAAGTTATTCGACGACAAGTATAATTATTAATACATTGATCGATCACATCGACACCAAATTTTGTTTGATTATAATCGTGAATCATTGTTGGAAGTTTCTTTTCATTGTCAAAAACTTCAGCAAAATCATGTAATGTTGATAATAATATGACTGGTGGTTTTTTTTCTTTTGCTTGGTAAGATAAAATTGTACTTTGACCGGAAAAGTAAAACCATGATGAGTATAAATCCTGTCGAATGAGTTTCAATTCATTCGGTACAAAACTACGTTTATGATTAACAACACCAAGTGATGTCATTTTGCGTTCTAATAGATTCTGTACTAAGTTGAAATCAGAAAAATATCGATCGAAGGTAATATTTCGACCTTGTTGGACATTCTTCGGCAATTGATCTACTAAATGTAAAACAATATTTGTCGAAATATTACGTTGAACAGTATTGCCAACTTTTCCTGTGCATAATTCTAATGCTAAAACATATCTAATTTTGACATCACATAATGTCCAGAATTTAAGGCCATATTTAGCAGGTTTCTTTGGCATATACTGTACAAAACAACATCTACCTCGAAATGGTACTAATTGTTCATCGACCGTGATATTTTCACTTGGAATAAAATGTTGAGGAAGTTGTTTAGTAAATGATTGAAACACATATCGAATAGGAGCAAGTCGATCAGATTTATCACGTCGTTGACGATCATCAAATCTAAGAAATCGTAAAAGATTTTTGAATCGTTCCAATGACATTGTTGCATGGTATATTGGTCGACTTCTACTAATATCCCATAGTTCTACAAGTGACTGATGATGACTAAATTCAGCTCCAGCTTGAATCAATAAGCCGAGAAATGCTTCTAATTCGATGTAATCAAGCTGTTTCCATTTTACCGGTTGTTTATGATTATTTCTATTATTCAATCGTCTTTGATTTTCTTGATCAATAAATCTTTTTGCATATTTATTTGTTTGCATAACAATTTCATTCAGAATATCTTCAGTAATAAACAATCTAAATGCATCTACAATAGTCTGAATTGAAGTAATAGAACCAGGTTTTCTGTTAAGTATATTCATTGTACGTAGGCGACCAGCAGCTTGAGTCTTTTGACTCGACCATGAAACACCATTTTTTTCAATAAAATCAGGTTGAGCATGTTTGAACATATCATTATGATCATTGACATGAGAATCAGATAAATCATCATCACTAGCATAAGAATCAGATGAATCTTCGTTCTGAGAAATAAATTCATCAGTGGATGTATCATCGGATTCGATTCCAGAAATATTATAATCTGTATCAGGATTCGATTCATCATCCTCAGAAATGTTATCGAATTCATTCGTACTATTTGACGTAGACATTTCACGACTTCTTTTTAAATTTCCATTACTAGTCATTCTTTTTATCTAAAAAAATAAAAGTGTTGGACTTTTTATGCTTGAAGAATCTTAGAAGTTTTAGACATAGTTTCTTTCTGTGGAAAGAAAATCGAAAATAATTGAGATGATACTAATTGACTATAAAAGTAGTTCGATGTAATTGTAACAAACCTTGGAGATAAATACCAAATAATAGATGAATCACTATTGGTAGTGATAAGTTAACAAATCTCTTGAGAGATAAGTCTTTGAGATAGCAGATGGCAGGTTGAACAAGAAAAAAAATCACATGTATAACACAAAAGTTGCTAGGGGGTCCGTGTGGACCCACCTCTTAATTTTGTCCCTATAAGAGGTATCAAAGAAACTTCATATGGTCTTCGTGCATTGTTAGAAGAATAACGATTAGAGAAGAGATCGATCCGCAAACGATAAGTATTAACGTAGCTAAAGACAAAAATCATCGTTGTGGGTCCGGTTGGACCCCCAAACAGCGTCCAAGGGTTAAATGTTTGTATGATAAGTTGAAATAAAAATATCAAATTAAGTGATGAAGCTAGATCATATATCCAGAGATTGTTTTTTCGCATCGATAAAAATTAGTCATTAAAGTGTTGCATATGATGATAGTGATGCTGAAGAATCGATTTCCTTGTCAAAGCAACAAGAAGATCATGATACAATAAGGTCTGATCAGTTGTGCTCATTTTTATTAAATACATCAAACGGTTCAAAATTTTTGATCTTGTGCTAACTCAATAAAGTACATCGTTCGTAGGAGCATAAAAAGCTGAACAAAACCTACTCATTTTCTTCGAGGCGTACTTCTGAGTCTCGAGCAAAAATTTTTAAAATAGATTTTCAAGCAGAAATAGCAAAAACCTTTCATTCTCTCTCTCTCTCTCTGAGTGACATGTTTTTTTGTTATTTTGTTTTCGTCGTTCTGCTTGACTTGTGGATGAATGTAT